CAAACACAGTTTATCGCCTCCTTTTTCTTTTTTTAATGGTAGCTTATTACAGGCTCTCTTAAATCTGTTGGAGAGATATCATGCTCATTATGTAGTATGTGTTGTCATTTAATGCCTTAATGACAATGTTAATGCCATTTTTGCTACTATTCGTCACTATGTTTTATTTTTACGTAGGGCATCGTTTTTGCCCATTATCTGCCTATTGTTGGCCAATTTTTCTTACGTTCCTCATATTCTGTTACTGTGAATTATATGCCTTATGAAACCACAAGAAGACAGATTTTAAAGACTTGTAGAGGGTTAATTCTCCTATTTTGTCATCAGATCACGTATTGTTCACGAATACCATTAGTATTCACTTGAGGTTCTAAATGCAAATCTTCTTCGAAAGGGACAATATGTTTTCCATGAACCATATTCAGAAAAAGTTTATTACAGAAAGATAAGCAGTGCCATCATGCATATGTTATTTTATATAATCGATATAACCAACTTGTAAATCAAGGACCCACATCCCACAGTGGATAGGTTTAAAAAAAATTCTGTCCAATAAGTAACAGAAACATTCTAATTATCTAACTATTTTCTATTTTTTTTTTTTGTGTGTGTGTGCCATATTTTAATGTGTCAAATAAATTTTAGCAAGTATATTAGTCGGAATAGAGATATATTTTTTTTTTCAGGCACTCCACTGGCTCATTTGCCAGTTCTATATCTCAAAATAGTTCTACGTTGAAGGATCTAATTAATTCCATTTGCTTTTTTCCTGCTTGTACAGCCTGCATTTAAATAGGTTATTAATGAAGGGCACTTACAAGGCCAGGCAGATACAATGATAAATACAGAAACCTTTTGAGCACTGTTACCTAGGTAAAGAGTTTCGGGTGTGAATTTAAATTATTGAACGCCATTTAGATGGAGAGCTATATTAAAATAATAGGCTGTTGCAGAGATGCAAAAGAAAAGACATCGCCTTGTACTTTGCTCAACGTAATCCTCTGTAGGTCACTCTATTATTATGTATGTTAAACTAGGTTACATATTGCATGGACATGCTTCAACCTGTTTTATTAGAGTTTTATTCTAGGTAATAAAAACATGGACAGAGGTTCTAAACTTCAACTTCTGAGCAGAAGGCAAAGACTGATACTAAAATGGCTCGGCTAACAGAGTGTCAACACAGATTAAATAAGTCACATTGCATTTCATTGTACATGCAGCTCTGCAGAAGACCTCTGGTTTATAGGTCAAGATTTATGTAAATGCGGGAGAAGTGGAGCTCAATGTTCTCATAAAAATTGGCCTTATAGAACAGGGCAACAGCTATTACGGTATACGTGGTTAGGAAGCGTGTAATATATTTTTACATTTCTGATAATGGGAAGTTTAAGATAGATGAACATCATCAAGTGTATACAAAACATAATTCAGTGATTACAAACAAGCAGGAATTTAATCTCATATTTGTCGACAATGTCATTGCCATCACAATTAGTCGTTTTTATGTTTTTGAGCAGCATTTTGACCATTACTGATTCAGTGAAAAAGGGCTCTGTACTGTACATTAAACACTTGTTTTGTCTATCTCAATCCTTCCAAAGGTGAGTTATAAAATATGTTGCAACATTTCAACATACCAACCTTTTTCAAACTAGTTTTATGAATGGGAAGTCACTGATTGGCTGAGAACGTCAACTGACCGCTCTCAGTCAATCAGCGGCACCTTTGTCCGATTCTGCAAGAGAGACTTTTGTTTTCCCGATTTTGAGAAAACGGAAGGAGAGAGGGGCCTGGAGATTTGGTGCTGGAAGACAGACTTAGGGGTTAAACCGTTCTAGGATGGTTTAAACTCTTAAAGGGACACTCCAGACCCCTAATGCACATCTTGCTGAAAAGCTTTGTGTGTGAAGACTGTGAACTCTTTTTTTCATTATGCAAAAAGTGTAGATTTAAATAGAAATTGATACTTTTATAAACCATACTGGTTACACCCCACTGGCTTTCGAGCAGGCAACAGGTCCTGTTACTTGCTGATTTAGTTAGTTCAGTTTAGCTAGTCTCAAGAGGCAGCAATTGCTAGAAGGGGAGGACTTGCAAGGGCTGCAGATAAAAGAAACTGCAGGATTAGCAAGCTGTTTTTATTTATATATACACCCCCAATGAAAAAATACATGCATGTTTTCATTTGGGTTATATTTATTAAACAGGGAATTTTTATTTTGTATTTGGGCAGTGGAGTGTCCCTTTAAGGAGAGCCAGTGCCAAGGACGTATTGGCACCATAACTGCTTCATGTTGATCTCTAAAATCAGCCAATCGAGCTCATCATTGCAAAATTGATGATGCAATCACTGATTAGACCCCTGTTTTAAGACCATAACATTTTCTGACTTCGACAGCATTACTGATGGAAAAAAAAAGTTTTTAATTTTTTAATTATGATCACTTGTATAACTGTTACACCAGCTGAAAGACAGAAAACATTCTTATCAGTTGCTGAAATGCAGGCCAAAGTAAAGAAACACATTCTGATTGACAAGAGAAGGTTCTCAGAGGGAACAACAGAGATGTCACACACTGCTTTTAATATACATACATACATACCATGCAGTGGTGCAAGTGCTTTGAAATCCTATAATATTTAAATAGTGAATGATATTTTCACACTTGACACTGCAGTGTGACAGGGCGTGGATCCAGAGCTGCCTGCGAGTCAAAGCGGCTATGTTATCACCTCTCTCCAGCCTATGTTTTATTCCCTCAAGCCTCCCTGACTCCCACACATCATTCAGTGGCCTGGGATCAGTGCTACTTACCTTTTCTTCCATTGTGCTGGTCCAGCCAGGTGTTATTCTCTGATGTCACCATCTTAGAGTTTTCAGAGGTACAATTACACAGACATACTTGGTTTTTCAGTTTTTCTTTTCCATGTTACTTTCTGATATTCTCAGAATAGTGGTCAGACCCCAGAGAGGTTCCATAACTAGAAGGTATCATGAGGGAGGTGGACAAATGCTCTCTCCACACTCCCTTGGTGCAGGTGTGAAAGTAGGCAGCACACATGATGTCCTCATTTACTTTTCTCCTGAGCAATATGAAAGTTTATGGAGGGTTGCCCTGATTCCAATTTTGACATTGATAGTTTACAGGAAATTGGTCATTAGACCTTCATCAGTTCTTGCAAATGTGAGAAACCAGCAGGATTATATATAACAAATGAAGTGCACAGATGAATATGTGCTAATAGTATCTAAAAACGGAACATGGCTAATACTTTTCAGTATACACGTGTGGATATCTCACCGTACAATCAAAATTCGATGAGTATGAAGTTGTTTAAAAAATAATAATTCATGAACTAAAAATGGACAATGGATAATACTGCAATGGACAATACTGCATATGAAATAAATATACAGCGAATGCTTGTTTTTCCTGGGCATGTTGGGAGATAGAAGGATAACAATTAATTGATTTGCTTTGACAATTACATTTGTCAGAGCATCTACAAAACATAAAAGTAATGTGCATGTATACGGAGCAGGAAATATGGTCGATAGTGTAGGGCAGTCATCATAAAGGGGAAAGGGTTCAATATAATGTAGATGATTGCCACAGTGACGGGTTAACATTTTATGCCGGTGATGAAAAGGTTCTTTTCAAAGAGTCATTTGAAGTGTAAAATGCACTATAGCTATATCATTATACCATCTGCAATGAATCATTTAACCAAGTGAGATGTGAAAAAAAGGAAAATGAAATACTGCAGCTATTTAATTATAGAGGAGCTTACAAAAATAGAAATCCTGTGATATGGCAAATGTGGTGTGCACTGTTGAAGAAGCATAAGAGCAGAACTTTGTTCAAATACATAGGTAAAGTTTATGCATATAAATAATTTTGGAACAAAGTTCTAAAGGTGGAGCAATCTCCATGGATACTAATTCTGATGATTGGTCCATTTTCAGAACTGTGCCTTTCAATTGCTCTTTATAATAACTTATTTGTGTCTTGCGAGGGAACGTGATTGTCTGGAACAACTAACATTTACTTTATAAATGGAATTATCAGTAATGTTAGATCTGTATATCCCTTGCACTTTAGAATATAGCTATAAAAAAAGAGGCAGACCTAAAGAGGCATATATAGTTTTTTTATATTATTTTGATTACTGATAATGGAGAACTGCAAGGAGGTCTTTGCTAGTCTCATATAAAAGTCTACAGCAAGTATTTAAAAGCATACAACCCATACACCACCCTAAACACACGCCAGATACACAGTATGTCACCCCATTCTACCATACATATTTTCATCACACTTCAGATATTCTAAACTAAATGGGAATTGGGGGCACACACGGAACATGCATTTCTGAGCAGCGGATCTGCACTAGATGCCAAAATGCTCATTAGTTGTGTTTTTTGTTTTTTAATTGTCTTGAATTGAATACATCCTGGCTGGGAAAAGAAACAGACAGTGACAGTAAATTAAAATAATTTGGGTCATACTGTATGCACATTTACTATCTAAAACCATTATCTAATTTCCTTGTCCATATTGTCTTATATCAAAAATTAATGCAGGTTGCATGGTCACGCATTCGTCTGCATGGTGGTGTTTATCTTTTATCTCCAAAATAAATCCCCCCATCGCCACCGATGAGCTCATCATATTTTGAAATATCAGTACCCTTGTCTACTTCCATACTTTTTTTTTTTTACTATATATTCTTAAATGTCTCTTTATTGTTGTCCCACAGCATTGCATGCTATCAGGACATTCTACAGACTATGCAAAAAAGTAACCAATGCCATAATTAAGAAAATAATTGGTTTCTAATCGAGGTACAGACAATCTTGCTCTTTGCGACGAATATAAATTTAAATGAATTATTTAAATCTACACTGTTGCATTACTTGAATCTGCCTTTATAGAGAAATGAGCAGTGCTTGTGAGTAGAGATGTCGCGAACGGTTCGCCACGAACTCCGGTCAGCTGACACATCCCGGCCAATCTCCAGCAGACCCTCCCTCCCAGACCCTCCTACTTCCTGGACAGCATCCATGTTGAAGGCAGCTTCAACATGGATGCTGTCCAGGAGGTGGAGGGTCTGGGAGGGAGGGTCTGCCGGAGATTGGCAGGGATGTGTCAGCTGACCGGAGTTCGCCGCGAACGGTTCGTGGCGAACCACGGCGAACCGTTCGCGAGAAGTTCGCGGACGGTTCGCGACATCTCTACTTGTGAGGCTAATAAAACCTTAATTTGGACTTTATTCATTTTGGATTGACTACTGGACAGTGCATGTGATATACAAATATTAATTTTAGCTACACAATGGCATTTATTCACTAAACACAGCACTGTAATCAATTGATGGTTTTATACCAAACGTTCAGACAAATCCTGTTGAATTGGTTAAATTATTCAATACAGGCCTTGGTCTTTACTTAAAAAATTGACGGTTTAGGGAACAATTCCCAGAGTGTACCATTCTTGACAATATCACTACAAACTAAGTGTTAATAAAAATCTTCCACCATTCCACGTCTTTTTAATAAGCAATTGTCATATTTTGTACGCGGTCTTCCCAGCTATTAATATGTAAGCGGACAGATTCGCTTTGTATGTTAGTTACAAGTAAGTGAAGCCACAGTTTATTTTTATTGCTAATTTTGCCCACGTCGCACAACAATGTTATGACAGGCGTAGATAAACTTCTACTACAGAAGTGCTGTCTCGTAGCAATTTCTTTTACTGCAAGATATAGAATCAACAAGATAAATCTGACACCCCTAATTAAAAACAACTGTAGATGATATTAAAAAAAAATGAGTTTATTGGATACGTTAAGAGACATCAGATACACGGAAACACAAAGTGATGCATTTCGAATTAACCGCACTTAGTCATAAGCCTGAATCATAAGAGGCTCATAAAAAAGAATGGTTATATCGAAAAGCATCAAGCTGAGTCTTCGTGCATCTTCCTTTATGCGATAATTTTACTGTGTAGTAAATTGATGCTATCTTATCTAAAACACAAAAAATACCTACTGGAGGATGTGAGGTGTATCTTGTTATCTTAACTTTAGTTTTTATCCTCACTGTGCTATCTTTGTTATGAACCTATTTTTGTTTATAAGTGTCATCCACTTTTAGATGCGCTAACAGTGTAATGCCTAAGCTTAATGCTGCAGGTGTGTCTGGATAAAAATACCCATGATGCTAAGCTGAGATCATCATAAAAGTGTTGTTCATAAAATCGATGAGTTTTGCCATCGTTGTCCTAAGTTAAAGCTTGGAAACTGCTAACCTCTTGCTGCTTGTGATGTACACCCCAATATAAATAAGGAACAGTCTTATGGAACGAGATCATATGTATCAAGGCTTCGCAGACAAGTCAGCAGAAATTTGCTATTGATTTCTTAGAGATTTCTCCAAGTGTTCCAATGTTGCATTATATTTATTCACAATGCTCTTACAACAGATTATTTAAATACACTTTAGATCACTAAGCAGTAGCATTATTTAATTTGTCTCCCACGTTAAAATTAGTGCAGCGTACTGTGGTGTAGTGGTGAGCTTAACACGATATGGCCATATGGAGGAACTGAATCCCCATATTTGTTGCTGAGTTAGGGGATTTTAAGTAGCCTTGTAAAATATAAAACTTTGTGCGCTGTTCCTTAAAGGGACATTATAGGCCCCCAGATCACTTCAGCTCATTTAGGTGGTCTGGTTACAGTGCCCCTGTCCTCTTAACCATATAATTGTAAGTATTGCAGTTATTGATAAACTGCAATAATTACCTTGCAGGGTTAACTCCACCTCTAGAGACACTTCTGGGTGGTTAGACGACTTTTTGTCGCTTTGCATGAGGACATCAACCGTCATCTGAAACCCCATAGGAAAGCATTGAGCAATACTTTCCTATGTGGTAGTCCTAATGAGGGCGCGGCACTTGCGAGGGAGGGGGGAATTTCAGGTCACCTAACCTTTAATCTGCATTTTCAAAATCAAGGCACAATGATTCACACTGTCACTGGCATACTGCTCCCTCTATAAGTGACCATTCCTGCCTGCCTCCCACCTAGTGGGTGTCACACATACTTGCCAAAAGCAAAAAATTCAGCAGGACTTTTGGGCCCCTGAACTGCATGTGTTCAGGAGTCCTGCATCACACCAAAGAAACGTACCACAAAGAGCAGGGTGCAGCATGCACAGAAGATGCCATGACATTTTGGCCCAAGTTGGCCTCCTTGCTGGGTAGCATGTCACTTTTGCACCTATGTCCATCACGACTGACACAAATCGAGTCACTGGCACACACACCTCCACGGCAGACCTGCCTCCATTCTAGCGGCATGCTTGCTGTGGTATGTCCCCGGTGGAGATTTTCTACTCATCAAAATCTTTGCTTAAATACAGGTAACTCAGTTAAAAATATTTTAAACTTTATTATAATCACGTGGTTACTTCAAATGCAACTATAACAGCGTGATGGAGCATTAAAGGTTTAATCATTTAAAAGATTACAGGTAGAGCTTATCCAGTGAACTCCCTGGTCTGCTCATCTGTAAATGCAGAACTCTATTTGCTTATTAATGCAGCAAACGAAAAGAAACCTCTTAGTCGGCACAAACATTTTTTTGCAAGGTTATGATGTTTGAAAAGAACAAAAATGAGATGTTTGATACATAACGATTTCAATTCCTTGCTAGACAAACATAGGCTGGAGTCACGGTTTGTTTAGCAAGTTAAGCAGTGTCAAAGTCCGCAGCTGTCAATCCTGACTGCTTCCATGACAGATATCAATGCTATAACTGGAAGGAGATGGAAAAATAGGTTTTAAACTGATTTCCTACTGCCTGTCACATTTAACACCAGCAGAAATCCAGAATCCCTGCACTGAGATTTTAACCCACAATATATTATGTTCACACAGCTAAATTGGAGCACGCTGACTGCATGCAAAGTCATCACCTATATAAAATTCACGGCTCCCAAAAACAGAAAAATGTACCCCATCGTCATGGATACCATGTTATGTGAGCAGTAATACATTTGGAGGTTGCAGGAAACAGGCTTTGAGTGAAAGAGCAATTTTAAAGTAACATTTCATGCAGTACAGAGTGTGAAATCCATCAAAACCATAAATGAAGAAAGCAGGACTATATAAAAAAAATAGCAGTAAAAAGCCTTTCAAGAGATGTACATAGACAACTTTTCTCTGCCCCGGATGATTTGATTTGTAGGTGTACATGTCAAAACATAAATAATAAAAATCTAGTTCATATTTTAATGCTGGCTGCAGCACAATCACAAAGTATTTCCAAACATCCACAGAAAAAGAACTTAAAGCAACACTCTAATCACAGTAACTTGTTTTAGGGTTTATAATGCAAAGAATCTCGGGGCGCTCATCCCACTGCCATATCTTCTCAAACTGTTTTTAAAGAGACGCTATAGTCACCAGAAGCACTATAGCTTATTGTAGTGGTACTGGTGTCTATAGCACAAAAATGCTGAGTATTTACATTGCTGCCTAGTAACACCTCTAGATGCAGTCATTCAACGGCCACTAGAGGTTCTTTATAGCTCAGTGTCTCCACTCTACTCCTATGAGAGAGATCATCAACCTCTTTACGCATGGTCGCCCCCTCCCCCGCCTTTCCCCAAACAGGTAGTCGAGCACTATAATGCTAGGAATACATATTTGTATTCCTAACACTATAGTCAGGGACGTATTAGCCGGGAGGCAAACAAGGCATGTGCCTTGGGCGGCATTTTTCAGGGGGTGGCAAAAAACGCAGCCCCCAAATGCCCAGTGCAAATGCCTAGTTAGCCTTGTGGCTAACTGACATACTTGGCGGGCGGTGCTGGCAGGTGGCTGGCGAGGGAGCACTTCCTCTGAGCGGTCTGCTCAGCTCCCTCGCCAGCTGCCCGCCCAGCAGCCAGACCGGCAGCCACTGGACCCCTAGGGAGAGAGAGGAACCCCCCCCCAGCATTCCCAAAGGTAAAGGGGGGTTAAAGTTTTGTTCGACTGTGTGTGTGTGTGTGTGTCTGACTGTGTGTGTGTGTGTGTGTCTGACTGTGTGTGTGTGTTTGTGTCTGACTGTGTGTGTGTGTTTGTGTCTAACTGTGTGTGTGTGTTTGTGTCTAACTGTGTGTGTTTGTCTGACTGTGTGTGTGTGTGTGTCTGTGTGTATATTTAGAAGGTGGGGCGGGGGGGAAGGGTTGGGTGGGGGTGGCGCGGTGGGATGGGGGTGCCTGAGTTTTGTCCTGCCTAGGGCAGCACAAAACCAGGATGCACCACTGACTATAGTGTTCCTTTAAGCAATGGCTCTCCCTGCACCCAAAGTTTGACCCCTCTCTAATCTCAGGTTCTACATTTCCATGCTGGATATTTTAACAACATTTAGGCAAGACTGATTTTAAAGGACTGTCTAGCAGTAAATTAGAAAGACTGATGTCCTATGATTCTTTTCTAGTGACACATGCATGTGGATCCTGGAAACCCATTAAACAACATTTACGGAGATATGGCAAAATGCAACGGTCATCAACAGATTGGTGACAGTTCTTCTTTATATATGACATTACTATATGTATGTGTGTGTATATATATATATATATATATATATATATATATATATATGCTGGGGTAAGCATCTCTGGTACCCATTTCCACTAACTGTCCACTCTTTTGTGGATATCAAACACCAGGCATAAGCAAACCAACCAAACGGACGGCCAGTGATTGACTTGTCTTAGCCGGCTATCCGAGTTTGGATATGATGCAGAGATAACATCAACTGTAAAGTTTCCAAGTTTGATTTATATAAGGTAGACATATATTGTATTAAAATGTGCAGACTGTGCTGATATCTGTTTCCCCAAACTGCCATGGATTGGGCTCACAGGCCAATTTTCAAACACAAAGAAATGTCTGAATGTATAGATCTGTATAGGCAGCCGCAGCATAAAGACAAATAATACCCTCGCAGTATAGATCTTTCTCACACATAGAACAGGGAGAAGTATGGGGGCTGCAACTGCATCACTGGGCCACCGGGTATGTGAGAGGTAGGGATAAAAGCACTGTGGGGTTCTTGGGCAATTGGCTTAATGGACCACTAAAGTCAGCCACTAGA